TCAGGGTTGTACTGCAAGGTCTGTTGCAAAAATTTCTTGAATTTCTAGCCAGACTAGATTGGAATAGTGATTACTGAAATGACATTATTTTGTTACTTGACAGCTTGAGACTGCTAGCTAAGTTTAAGCAGCCTTCTCCCTCTACTCTATGGTACCATCTGTAAATACAATTTCAGATCATGTGATTGAAAAATTGCAAGTTTGATCTCAAATCTAAACATGTAGGCCTAATACTAATCACTCTAGCATGATAATTACTAAGCTAAAGTTTTAATATGTTAACCATTGAAGCATGCGTGTTATTTTTTAAACTTTATATTCATCTTAATATTTGGCCCACTAAAAACAAAATTAATCCTAAAAGCATTTACTAGAGACAACTTACCTTAAAGGATTGAGACTTGAGTTATAATATGATTAGTTAAAATATTTTCCATGAAATAAGTATAACAAATTACATTTCAAAACATACATAAAACAAAAATAATTCAACTAAATGTAATATAGTCCATCTTATTATGTAGGTTACCGTTTTACATTTAAAATTAAGTTCCAAGTAGTTTAAGTTTGTAACCTACCAGATAAAACATTTCTTACATGAAGATAAATCCCCAAGTAATGAATTAAAAATAATTATATTTACTGCATAATCTTGTGGATATTCGATTCAAATAACATGTGTTAATTGATCTCTAGATCTATACTTGATTCTAGATCTAGTTTTAAAGCATTGTGTTCGCCTAACAAAAATATAAATAAAACAGTTTAGTTCTCAAAAATTGGACTGGAAACAGGCTACATTAAACAGATACTCTTTGTTTATTATTCTTAAAAGTGATAAAATGTAATAGAATAGTTTAACATAATTAATCAAATATCCTTACCTATATATAATTTGACTGCTGCGGTGTTAAATTGTGTGATTGCAGCGTGCCACTGCGTTGCTGATCAAAAGTATACAGACAAATTTTAAAGCTCGAAATAATAGTCGGTTTGCTCAAATGATTATATCTTAACCATTCTACCGAAACTACAATTATTTCAGGCATAATGGGGAATCAAACTGGCCTTTGATTTATGTAAAAAAAATTAATAATGAAGTCCTAGTCTAAAAACAATTAATGCAGGCTTTTTGGTTTGTTTATCTTGTATTTAGGAAATTAATACAATTTACACTGATTTATTATTATATTCTTTAAATTATTTCGGGGCCCCCAGAATATTCACCTTAATTTTTTAGCTATTTTGGTTTATAGGTAAATTCTGAACTCATGATAGTTATATATGTAATTCCCCAAACGAATAAAATAGTTTAAATATTATAAATAACAGTTAAAGAGTTATTTTTAGTTGATCTCAATTCATGCAATGTGATTAAAAATGAAAAATGCTAATTTAAAATGTTGATAATAAAACCAGTTACACAGCTCCAAGTACAAAGTCCATCTGTACAAAGTAGAACAACCAGCTCCATCTACATAACTTGGACAGTCAACTCTCAAAACCCTGCCAATGTCAATTATAAAATACAAGCTGGCTCTTCAAGCCCAGTTACAGCAGGTTCTAATGGAGGGAATGCCACTGGTCTAAGTCCTGGACAACAATACAACTTGTTGATTATTTCTACACTTCCTGCAGACATGTACTATCCCGATCTAACTACAAATGTTTCAGTTACATTTTTGACTTGTAAGTTTCTTTTATTTTATTTTTATACAAAGGACATAAAAATCAAATAAACATAAGTTAAAAATGTATCCAGTTGGGCTTTTCATTTGAGAGGCGAGGGGGGGGGGGGGAGAGAGAGAGAATTACTGTCTTGCTACTGTCACTAGAAAAATATTTTTGCAGAAACCTACAGTCAAGCTTATTTTAGCTAAATATCTTTATCTAACTTTAAAGATAATTTGGCAAATATGCTCATGTACACTACTTTAATTGATTTTTCAGCCAAACTGCATGGCCAAGATTGTAGTGCAGACTTTGATTGTGATAATCAGTTTTCATGTGTAGACTACAAAAGTGGTGGCAAAAAATGTCTGTGTAAAGATGGGTTTTATTATTATACAGGAACCAGTAAATGTACTTCAAGTAAGTTCTTCATTTCCACACTTGATATTAAATTTAATGTTTAAAGAACAGATAAAAGTAATAATGAAAAGTGTTCATAGACATGTAATCTGACACTTAAATCGTCTACAAATAAATTGGAAAGAGTCAGATAATTTTGCAAATTTTACTCCAACGAAAAAAATGTTCAAATTTAGCAAAGCATTTTTGTTTAATAAAGCCTTAATAAATGACTACTCTATACGCATAGTAAATTGTGCATACTGTTTCAACACTAGTAAACGGATTTCAATAAATTATAATGTCATATTTAAACAGTGTTATCAACAAATATGTATCATAAATAATTAATCAATGGTTGAAAGCTTGTTCAAAGTTATAATTATACCTACAAAAATTTATGTTTACTACTGCAAAGACTAGGGACGGAGTGGTCTAGCGGTAGAGAGCTGGACTGCTAACCCGTAAGTCTCGAGTTAGAATCCGGGTTCAAGTTAGTAGACCGTCCCTGAGTCCACCCAACTCTGATGGGTACCTAACTCACGTTAGGGAAAGTAAAGGCGGCTGGGCATAGTGCTGACCACACTATCTCTTCATATGCCGAGGTCACAGAAACAAGTGAACTCTACTTCACTTGCCCCATAGACCGTCAGGTTTGAAAGGGAAACTTTACTTTTTTACTGCAAAGACTGAAAAATTGACCCAAAGGTTATTTGCACTAAGAATATTGAAAAGAAAACTTTCAATTATAAATTTAATTTTAAAGGTAATGTATTAACATTTTAAACATGTTAATTATACTTAAAATGCAAAAATTTAAACCCATCAATTATGCAATAATTTTCTTTTCACACCAGTTACACAGCTCCAAGTACAAAGTCCATCTGTACAAAGTAGAACAACCAGCTCCATCTACATAACTTGGACAGTCAACTCTCAAAACCCTGCCAATGTCAATTATAAAATACAAGCTGGCTCTTCAAGCCCAGTTACAGCAGGTTCTAATGGAGGGAATGCCACTGGTCTAAGTCCTGGACAACAATACAACTTGTTGATTATTTCTACACTTCCTGCAGACATGTACTATCCCGATCTAACTACAAATGTTTCAGTTACATTTTTGACTTGTAAGTTTCTTTTATTTTATTTTTATACAAAGGACATAAAAATCAAATAAACATAAGTTAAAAATGTATCCAGTTGGGCTTTTCATTTGAGAGGCGAGGGGGGGGGGGGAGAGAGAGAGAGAATTACTGTCTTGCTACTGTCACTAGAAAAATATTTTTGCAGAAACCTACAGTCAAGCTTATTTTAGCTAAATATCTTTATCTAACTTTAAAGATAATTTGGCAAATATGCTCATGTACACTACTTTAATTGATTTTTCAGCCAAACTGCATGGCCAAGATTGTAGTGCAGACTTTGATTGTGATAATCAGTTTTCATGTGTAGACTACAAAAGTAGTGGCAAAAATTGTCTGTGTAAAGATGGGTTTTATTATCATACAGGAACCAGTAAATGTACTTCAAGTAAGTTCTTCATTTCCACACTTGATATTAAATTTAATGTTTAAAGAACAGATAAAAGTAAAAATGAATAGTGTTCATAGACATGTAATCTGACACTTAAATCGTCTACAAATAAATTGGAAAGAGTCAGATAATTTTGCAAATTTTACTCCAACGAAAAAAATGTTCAAATTTGGCAAAGCATTTTTGTTTAATAAAGCCTTAATAAATGACTACTCTATACGCATAGTAAATTGTGCATACTGTTTCAACACTAGTAAACGGATTTCAATAAATTATAATGTCATATTTAAACAGTGTTATCAACAAATATGTATCATAAATAATTAATCAATGGTTGAAAGCTTGTTCAAAGTTATAATTATACCTACAAAAATTTATGTTTACTACTGCAAAGACTGGGGACGGAGTGGTCTAGCGGTAGAGAGCTGGACTGCTAACCCGTAAGTCTCGAGTTAGAATCCGGGTTCAAGTTCGTAGATTTAATCTGTATATTATTATAATCTAATAGGTATACAGTCCACACCAATGAAATAGTAAAACAGAAGTAAGTTTTTAGTGGTCTACTACATTTTTGTGGATTTCCACATGGAGGGTCAAAAGTGGATGCGTGTGGATGAGGAGTCTAAAATTTAAAAAAAAAATTGTGTGGATGTCATAAATGGATTACCCCATACTTTATATTTTAAAAATATCCTACCTGGTGTGCAACTCACTAAGTAATAGTTGGTTTCAACACACAAACAACGTTTAATGTTATTTTTATCATTTCTGCACTCAAATGGTGATGAACATTCTTCAGTCCGATTACATTCCCCACCATGGGATTTTTCTAAAATAAAATACATCTTATTGAAATGATTTTATTCATGTTGATTTGTCAAAACACTTAAAAAATGTAATTTTATCAATGTGTTATTGCATGAAATATATTGTAGTTCAAACTCTTTCTTGTTTTAAGTATACTGAGCATATTTATTTATGCAATATATAGCAAGCAATATGATAATAGCACCAGTGTTTACTAAGGAAACGTGACAAACTGCATCCTTACGTTAGGATATGAGCATTTTGAATAATAGCAATGTCAATTCCAATATTAAAGGTAATAATAATAATAATAGTTTCATGTTTACACAATTCATGTAATCTGCAATTGTAAAACTATACAAAATTATTTATATGAAATTACATTAATTACTTCAAAATTAAATGATACAGGGATAATCTAAAATAAATGTGTGATATGATCCAACACATTCAGTGCTTATAAAGACTAAATATAACAGAATGATAACATAAAAAATGCTGAAGAAAATGTTATTAATAATACAATGGGAAAATGTGTCTTTTCTCCTATCTGCAAATGTAAATTTCATATATTTTGTCAATAATCCATTTTGGGTAGATGCACTGTGAATGTTAAGGGAGAAAGCTTATGCTTATATCCATTTTAAATGTAGAATTAATGTTATTCAAGTACAGTGATCATATTAATGGCAATGTGTGCTTTCTTCAGTAATGACTCTGCATTAAAAACCTGGACTCTATGGAAATCAATGTATATTTAATTGGCTTAACTTATCTCATATTCAATGATTTAGGCATAAAAATCATACATAATAGATCATTTGTTACATCAATTTCAAATTTGTGGGAGGAGAGGTTGACTTAAGGTTTTAAGCAGGGCTTATGCATTATTGTGATTTTGACAATTTTTTTTCTGTTTTGAACTGTGCTTAGTCATTATTATTATTATATTATATTATATGCTCAGTATACTTAAAACAAGAAAGAGTTTGAACTACAATATATTTCATGCAATAACACATTGATAAAATTACATTTTTTAAGTGTTTTGACAAATCAACATGAATAAAATCATTTCAATAAGATGTATTTTATTTTAGAAAAATCCCATGGTGGGGAATGTAATCGGACTGAAGAATGTTCATCACCATTTGAGTGCAGAAATGATAAAAATAACATTAAACGTTGTTTGTGTGTTGAAACCAACTATTACTTAGTGAGTTGCACACCAGGTAGGATATTTTTTAAATATAAAGTATGGGGTAATCCATTTATGACATCCACACAATTTTTTTTAAATTTTAGACTCCTCATCCACATGCATCCACTTTTGACCCTCCATGTGGAAATCCACAAAAATGTAGTAGACCACTAAAAACTTACTTCTGTTTTACTATTTCATTGGTGTGGACTGTATACCTATTAGATTATAATAATATACAGATTAAATATTTTTTCAAATGTTTATTATGAGGCTTCAATATTAAAAATACTAAAAGTAGAATATAGAGTCTAGAGAAAAATATGTAGTATGTTTAAAAGTTTAAAATCTAAATCTATTATTAATTTTAATGATTTTTTCCATTACCAACCAAAAACTCTAATTCTGTTTACTTCATTGCTTGCTGATGTAATCCAACACTAATTGTATTAGGCGGCCATCCGGTGTTAGAGCCTTGTCGAGGCTTGGCAGCTTGTGTATCCTGACCACCCCCAGAGCTATACCAGCGGGAGTGTAAACTCCTGGTAGGTTCAACCAAGCTGGGAAGATCTGCGCGGGTAGGGATCAGACCAAAGCTAACACCCTGGTCCCTCAGGTTGGGGGTTGAAACATAAGGCTAGCAACCTTATCTCGTAAAAAAATATACCGCTACAGACACTGCAAGTACACAAATCCAACACCGACTTGGTCAAGGGGGATCCTCTCTAGAAGAGCCCATGATGCCTACTAGTGAAAGCCTAACGGAAGGTAGTTTGCTGACAAATCTCCTAACGCCCAAGACCAAAACCAGATTAGGGACCTGGAACATCAGAACCCTATATGAAAGCAGCAGATCAGCCCAGGTCGCCAAAGAAATGAGGAGGTATAAATTAAGTCTTAGGATTAAGTGAGACATGATGGAACGGCAGTGGCCAAACTAGGTTGGTCTCGGGAGAGACTGTCATCTACTCAGGTCACGAGGACGAAGATCATGAACACACGCAAGGTGTAGCCATAATGATGTCTCCAGAAGCAACAAATGCTTTGATTGCATGGGAACCAGTCTCGCCACGACTCATAGCAGCTCGTTTCAATGCCAAGGGAAGGAAAACAACTTTAATCCAGTGCTATGCACCCACAAATGCTGCAACAGATGAAGAGAAAGAGGACTTCTACAGCGCCCTACAGGCTCAAATCGACAAATCACCAAAAAGAGATATAAAGATAGTAATGGGAGACATGAATGCCAAAGTTGGAACAGAAAATAAAGAACGGGAGCTCACAATGGGGAAAAATAGAATAGGCACAATAAATGAAAACGGGGAACTCTTTGCTGATTTCTGCGCATTTAATGATCTAATTATAGGGGGGACAATTTTCTCTCATAAAGATATACATAAGACCACCTGGACGTCACCCGATGGCAAAACAAAAAACCAAATTGATCACATCACAGTTTCCAGAAAGTGGAGAAGTTTAATGGATGTTAGGGCGAAACGAGGTGCTGATGCAGCCTCAGACCAGCAACTCGTGGTTGCAATATTAAAATTAAAACTAAAATCCTACAGGGATCGAGCTGATAAACCGCACTTTAAATTCAATACAACATTTCTTAGGTGTACAAAAATAAAGGAAGACTTTAACTGCGCAGTAAAAAAAATAGGTATGAAGCACTCTCCAGCCTGGGGGTCATCCATAAATGACGTCACACTCGTAGGGGGGAGGGGGGTCCGTAATTTTGTGACGATGTGTGATGAGGGGGTGGGGGTCAGATGTTGCGACGTCACATTTTTGCATTATAAAAAAGCAATGTTAGAAAACAAATTTTAGACGTTATTTCGCGTTTTAGATAACTGTTTTAATAAATTGTAATAGTTTAGACAACATTTTGGAAAAATATCAATGTTTAAAAAAAATTCAACTGCAATTTTGAGGGGGGTTGTAGGTTGAGGTGTGACGTCATTTTAGGGGGGGGGGTCTGGCTTTTTGTGACGAAGTGCGACTGAGGGGAGGGGGGGAGGTAAAAATCGTCAAAAAAAGCGTGACATCATTTATGGATGACCCCCTGGCAGAGGAAACAGTAGAGCAAAAATGGCTAGGAATACAGAAACTATGGAAGTCACCATGCACTGACATATTGGGGAGAAGAAAAAATGAACAAAAAGAATGGATCACAACAGAGACATGGGCCAAAATTGAAGATAGAAAAGAGATAAAGCAGAAGATTAACAAATGTAAGGATGAAAAAGAGAAAATAAACCCCAGAACACATTATTGTGAAGTAAATCGCATGGTCAGGAAAAGTGCAAAAGAAGACAAAAGACAGTTCATACAGGAGATGATAGAGGAGGCAGAAACTGCGGCACGACAAGGAAAAATGAAGAGGCTCTATGAAGTAACCAGGACACTATCAGGTAAGAACATTGATCCCAACAAACCAGTAAAGGATAAAGTAGGAAATATCTTAACAAGTGACACAGAACAGAGAGACAGATGGGTACAGCACTTTGATGAGATTTTAAACCATCCTCTCTCATCAAACATCCCGGATATACCACCTGCAAACCACCTACTAGATGTGTGTACAGATCCACCCACAAAGTTAGAAACAATAAGAGCAATAAAGAACATGAAAAATGGCAAAGCAGCTGGCCCGGACGGCATCCCACCAGAGGCACTCAAAGCAGATCCAGCCATATCAGCAGACATACTACATCCTCTACTTAAGCAGATGTGGGAAGAAGAGATAATCCAATCTGACTGGAAACTGGGATACCTGATAAAACTGCCAAAGATGGGAGACCTGACACAATGCAACAACTGGAGAGGGATAATGCTTCTTTCAGTTCCAAGTAAGGTGCTGACAAGAATCATCCTAGAGAGACTTAGAGATGCCTTGGACAAAAAGCTGAGACAAGAACAGGCTGGTTTTCGTCAGGACAGGTCATGTACTGACCACATTGCCACGCTGCGCATCATTAATGAACAGTCCCTTGAGTGGCAATCCCCCTTATACATGACCTTTGTCGACTTCGAAAAGGCGTTTGACAGTGTGAATAGAGATGTTATCTGGAAGTTAATGAGCCACTATGGAATACCCAAAAAATTTATATCTATCACACAGAAACTATATGAAGACTCCACCAGTCAGGTAGTACACAAGGGAAAGCTAACAAAACCATTCACGGTGACGACGGGAGTAAGACAGGGATGTATGCTATCGCAAATGATATTCTTGATGGTAATCGACTGGATCATGCTGAGGGCCACAAAAAACGACACAGGAATCCAGTGGAGTTTCACAAAAAGGTTGGAGGATCTGGATTTTGCCGATGACATCTGCCTACTATCTCATAAGCATCAACACACGCAAGCCAAACTAAATCGGCTGTCTGAAGAAGCCTCCGAAATTGGGCTAAAAATCAATAAAAACAAAACAGAGGTCATCAGAATCAATAACTGCCAGGACCTGCCCATACAGCTAAATGGAGTAGATTTACGAGAAACAAACACATTCACATATCTGGGAAGCGTGATCAATAAGGACGGGGGAGCAGACGAGGACATAAAATGCCGTATCAACAAGGCTAGATGTGCCTTCAACTCGCTGCGCCCGATGTGGAGGTCCACGGCCCTGTCACTCCGGAGCAAAATTGGGATTTTCAACACAAATGTTAAGGCAGTGCTACTCTATGGCTCGGAGACCTGGAGGGTTACGAAGACAAATACTGATAGGCTACAGGCGTTCGTAAACAAATGCCTACAACATATACTCAAAATAAGATGGCCGGACAAAGTATCAAACAAAGACCTGTGGCAAATTTTAAAGCAACAAGCCAATAGAGAAAGATATTAAGGCCCGAAAATGGGGATGGGTTGGACACACGTTAAGAAAAGAAAAAGAAAACATCGCAAAACATGCATTGGACTGGAATCCCCAGGGGAAAAGGAGGGTGGGCCGACCAAAGAAAACATGGAAGAGAACGGTTGAGGAAGAGGCAAAAACAGCTGGGCTCTCATGGGCACAGATTAGAGGAGCTGCCCAAAACCGATTCCGCTGGAGATGTGTGGTTGCAGCCCTTAGCTCCCGAGGGGCCATAAAGGAGTGATGATGATGATGATGAATTGTATTAGGGCTCATCCATAAATCATCTCACACTCCGGTGGGCAGGCTCTGACTTAGGTATAAATACTCTGATTTATTTACATGTTCATCTGTGTTTATTTTTAAAAGCAGCCGTTCTGTCTTAAGTTTACTTTTTATATGGAAGATAAAAAATTAATGTTTATTTTAAAATGTTAAATTCAACATGTGATGAATTATTTTTGGGGTCCTAGAATATTGACCCCAAGCTATATCTGGTTTGGCTTTTAGGTAAAGCAGGAACTCATGATAATAGTTTTTGTAATTTCCCTAACCAATATAAATAGTATTATAACTTAATATAATATATATATATATATATATATATATATATATATATATATATATATATATATATATATATATATATATATATATATATATAAAAGAGGTAGAACTAATAGTTACTTCTTATCAGGTCTAATTCATATAGTCATAAAATGTTTTATTAAAAATGTTAGAATTATATTATTTTTATCACAGTCACACAGCTCCAAGTACAAACTCCATCTGTACAAAGTAGAACAACAAGCTCCATCTACTTAACCTGGTCTGTCGACTCTGGAATCCCTACCAATGTCAATTATAAAATACAAGCTGGCTCTTTAACATCACTCGCAGCAAGTTCTACTAGAGGAAATGCCACTGGTCTAAGTCCTGGACAAGAATACAACTTGCGGATCATTTCTACACTGCCTGCAGACAGCTACTATCCTGATCTGAGTACAAGTGTTTCAGTTACATATTGGACTTGTAAGTATATTCTTGTTTTATATTTAAGGCCTCGGGAAATTTGTATACACCGTTAACACCTATTGACTTTTTTCTTGTATATATCTAGTTCAATAAAAATGGTTGTACACCTAAAAGAGACAGTATTGTAATCTTGCTAAAAAAAACATGAAATTTTGACAATTTTCGACGTTTTACACCTCAGTACTTCATCACATACATGAATTAGTATGTATCGGAGTGTTTATTTGTGAAATAATTAATAAAATTTTTATTTAAAAAAAAACACAGTCCGTTAAAACAACAGATCCTGGGGGTTAGGTTACTGATCCATATCTTAAAACCAAGGAGATGAGATGGTGGAAGCGAAACTTTTATTGATATACATCTTACACATTTGTTTTACATTTATGTAAAACAAATTAAAGCAGCTAGTTATAATGTTACAGTAACTGTTCTTTAATGCCTAAACAAGTTTCATGGCTGCTCGACTTGGACTAAAAACAATCAGAACACTCCCCTTCAATTTCTTTATAGAAGTCAATTTTCACTTCTTTGTCACCAGGTGTTACCCACCCACAATGTATTTTTAAGGGTAGGCCTGCGATAATAAACAGTTTTAAGTATAGTGGAAATGCATTTTGGTCCATATATTATGGTTACTATATAACGCAAAGGCCCAATATACTAACCTAAATAATATACCTAGGCTAGAAATTATACCAACAACGACTTGATTACACCCGACTGTGACAAGTTAAGCGATAAAAATTGATGTCCTATTGGCTCAGAGTGACCCTACTTTTAAAATTATGTTTAAACTTAATTAAAAAAGGTATTTTAAATTCTCTCTTATTTTGAACAAGAACAATCAACTTTTCCCTTATTGAGCTAACATAGTGTGATTATGTTCATTGTAATACTTCTAAAAGATACAAAAGAAGATAAATATTATACAGACGAACTAGAAGTAAATCTCAAAGCCAAACTACTTCAGCGGACTAAAATTTCCTGGGGGGGGGGGGGGGAACACTGTTTAAAGTATATATTTTCTACATAAATTCAATTTTTTTGGGGGGTGGAGGGACGGTGGGGGGGGGGATTAGACTCATCGAGGGGGAGGACTTCGCCTCCCCCCATCTCACCCCCCGGCGGAAAGATGCCTGGAAGAAACACTGATTGCTATTTACGAGGGAAGAGTTTTAAATAGTGTATTTTTTTTTTGTATTTTATACCCCCTGATTGTGTATTTATACTGTGCTGTAATATTATGTACTGCGCGGTAATGTAAAATATATTGCGTCACAAGGCAATTTAGCCGTAACACCATGACAAAAATTGAAAAATGTACTGTCAAAATTATGTTTTATTCAGTTAAAATACTAAAAGATTAGGGAGAGAGGGTTGACACCCCACCGAAAATAATAAATTTTCGGGAGAGGAGTTGGTCGGAGTTACGCCATCAGTAAACGCTCAGGGGGACAGCCGACCTTGTGGCCACTAACCGCACACAATTTTATTTTTTAATCATGATTTATTTAGATTTGATTTTTTTTCATGCTTTTAAGTTTGCAAAATTATTAATGAGCTTCTTGAGATCTCTTTTTAGCTGGCCAAGGTACTGGCCCAAAAGGCATATTTACAATTTGTTTCATAACATCATCATAATATGCAAATAATCAGATTTAAAAATCCCATCATAGACATCAAACTCTCCACTATCACCATCGAATGTTAAAGAAGTTTAATACGGAACTGGCATACCCGTCCGCATTGTTGCAACCTAGTCTTACATATAAGGGAGACAGAAGGGAGATGCAGGTTTCTGGGTGGTGGTGGGGGGGAGGGGGGCGCCTGTGGTCTTATAAATACGGGGTGGTCCCTTATCGAAGACACCCCTCACACCACATACGGGTGCGCCCTTTTTTATTCCACCCCCCCCCCCCCACACACACACACACACAAACTGAATGCCACTGCCTGTACACTATGAAAGGTCTTGAGGCCTTTTTGAAATTTTAATCATTTCTACAGTACAAAAAAAAAACTTGATTTCCATTCCCTTTTTAAAATTGTTTATTTAAAATAAATATTAAAATTCCAACGTAAAAGATGTATCTTTTTTAAAGAAGGAAAATGGACCCTAAGTGCATTGGGCCCCTATGCCTTGCTTACTCTAGCTTTACGGTAGCTGCGCCACTGGTTGGAGGGATCCCTTTCAACACTAAAATTAAGAACGCAGAAGAAGCAAAGAAGAAATGACCTCGGCTTACGAAGGGATAATGTGGTCAACACTATGCCTAGCCGCCTTAATTTTCCCTAACGTGAGTTGTGTGGACTAAGGGACGTTTTATTTAGTTGAACCCGGATTTGAACTCGAGACACGCCGTCCCATATATATCCCATACCTCTGTTTAATTGGTAGATTTTATGTCGATAGAATGCTACAAGTACAATTTTACAAGTTTTCAAAATAAATAATATTTTTACAGCAAACACGTATGCTGGACATTGCAGTGACTCAACATCAGATTGTGATGTTGGTACAAAATGTATAACACCATTTACCACTGCCAACACATTATGTTTTTGTGACATTTATCAGAATTATGCTACAGATAACTTTAGATGCCTTTCCTGTAAGTATTTTTATTATATTTTGAAAGCAAAGCATAGGAATTAAATATTTTAAAATAGTTTTTTTACATTTTATTTTAACAAAGAACAATTGAGCATATTTTGAATCTCGTAATATTTTGACTGCGTGTTTCACTCATAATGTTATCACAAATCTGTATAAAATAAAACTGTCAATGATCAAGCCTACTAAGAATGCTGCCTTAATATAGTTAGAATTTATGTCATCTACTAAAGTATAATTCAAATTTTTGAAACCTATATTTTCTTTTTTTTTTAAAAAAGCAGTGTAGGCCTAAAATAAATATTGAGACAATGTAAAACATGTAGATATTTTGTTTGAAAATTTATTTTTAAAATAAAATATAAAAGCGTTTCACAATATTATAAAGAGTTTTATTCTATCAACACATGCGATCAAGAATGTATGGTGGATATATAAACTACCTATAGTTTGCTTTAACACTTTTTATCCTGTGACTTTGCCTTGATAACAGACTAATTGTTCCAGAACATTAGTTGCAACTGAAATGTTTGGTCAAACTGGCAATCATACTAGGATTGTATTATATTGTACGCGTAATTTGTGTACACATTATTACAAAATTTTGTTTAGAGAAGACCGCTCACGGAGTTTCTGCACAGTCAATTAATGCTTGTCTTACAAAAGTGAAACTTCAGGCTGTAATTTATGCTTGATGAAAATAAATGGAAACATAGCCATAAACGTAAAAAAAAAATATTTTTCAAGTAATCTGCATTTGCAACTTTTATATAATTGATTTTTAAAATATTACATTTTTTTTCAAGCTCAAGTTTTTTGTATTATGTTTTTTTACGTCCGTCACGAAGGTGACGTTGACGATAACACGATTCTTATCCATGTCAAAAATAATAATAAAATAATTTTTTCAACTCGTTGATTATCCATTTTGCCGCTACCCACTAAAAGCATAACTTTCATTAGCATATTTTTTAAATATTGTATTGAATTATTTATTTAAATCTGCACTTGATTATCTTGTATCTTGAATTTTTTAAATTTTAGTGAGCAGCTTACAGGTAAAAAACGTACAATGGACAGTAGGAACACACAGCATCAATTTCACCTGGTCAACTACAAATGTACTCAGAGCCAATGCTACATATGCCATCATTTATGCAGCCAACTCAAACACATTGCTAAATACATTTTCTGGAGCTACTGGAGCAAGTTTGACCAATCTTGTCACAGGAACCAAATACAGCTTGAGGATTAGAAGTGAATTACCAAGTGACAACTATTATAACAGTCTAAGTTTCATTGGTGATGTTCTTGATATTGTAACGTGTAAGTTGCTTCATCTGTGCTTTCCTTTACCTAGTAATTTTATCAGAAAAACAATCAAGTCAGATTACAGCATCACGTGTACTTTTATTAAAATTCTAATTATATAATAAAAAAAAAAAAATATATATATATATATATATATATATATATATATATATATATATATATATATATATTGATTCAAGGTTTTTCCTCTGTCTGTGAAGTACGAATATGACAAAGCTTTTGATTTTAGTCACACACAAAGACATTTTTAGTTCTCTCAATTTACTTTTTTATTTTCTTAGCCATGTGTGGATGCAGTTTTTAAGGTTGTCTAATATTTATAAACTTTGTCTTTGAAAGGATGTAATCATCATCGTTTACTTGTAGAGCTTAGGGATGCAACCACACTTCTGCATATTACTTGGTTTCAAGGGAATCCCTCCAAATTTGGTCCACGACATTTCGGCAGCTCCCGCTTCTGTTACAAGTGATCTTTTCCGAGTTTATTTTGGCCTCCACTTTTTTCTCTTTCCTTGCAGATTCCAATCTACTGCCTGTCTTGCGGTGTATCGTTTTGTACAAGATGTGTCCGATTCATCCCCGTTTGCGATTTGGCATTTCTTTTCCAATGTAGTTTTACCGTGTTACTTTCCGTAGATGGCGTTTGTAAAAATTTTCAAGCAATCTAATGTCCAATATAAGGACCAGACATCTGTTTACGAAAATCTGAAGTTTGTTGTTATTAGGTTTAGTAACTCTCTATATCTCTCAACTATAGAGGAGAAAAGATTTCATTAAAACATGTTATTTATATTTCTCCATGTCTTTAATTGGCTTTTTTTTTATTAAAATGAATAGATGCATTAAGTTTTAAGGTCTGCCCCATGAAATAATAAACAAAACATTGTTTTATTTTTACTGAGCATGATCTTAAAATCTGTGTTCTCTGTGCAACAAAAATTTAAACAATAAAAACTCTCATAAAGAGATATAATTAATTTTATTGTATTTATATATAAGTGTATGCTGTTTAATGAATGTAAAACTAGCAGTTGCAAATTTTTACAGTATAAAATAGTTTTAATAATGTTTTTTTTTTAAATTGGCAGATCCTGGGAAGCCAGGATATGTTTATAATGTTACACAACTATCAAATACTACAACCAACGGACCATACGAGTACATAATTTATTTTGGTGCATCGGAAGGCAATGTAGCAAGTTATACATTTGTTATAAAGAACAACACTGGTCTTGTAGACACTTTGAGCAACACCACACCATCTGTTGTATCGAATAAACTGACCCCAGCGAGAATCTACTCGTATGAAATAACAGCACAAAACACTGTAGGAAACGTGAGTGAGACAACAACTGGCACTTTTTCAACATATGCAAGCCGTAAGTAGCATCCATAGATCTATTTTTATTTTATTATAGATGCAATAAGAAGGTTTTATTGACAGCTATGAAATCCGCCTTTTGAAAGCTCTGTTACTATATCATCTGAATGGTTCATTTCTAAAATGAATTAAATAACTTTCAATTCATTTCAATAATTTGTAAGGTATTGATAATCCGGTAACATCATTGTTCGAATATTATAAAAAAATATTAGTTTAAAAAACTCCTCACTAGGTAGGTGATATGATGTCAGTGAGGTTTAGTTCTTGCTTGCGGGTGATTTAGAGAAAGACACAGAATTGAACTGTACAAACACTAGGCGAACTGCGTATAAATGTATTCGATACACATACCAGATAGTGCTTCTCGCAACTTGTAAGCGATTTAGAAGTGAAAATAAAAAGCTAACCTTAATCTATTGCGCTACGTATAACTCTAAAATAAAAAACTAAATAGGTTAAATACGACTGCAATAATTTAGCTATTAATTACAATAACAGGTTCAGATCAATATCTAAACAGTAATAATAAATCTTACTATTTAAAATAGTTGTGACAATTTAAATTATAGTGAAGAAAATCTAACACATATATCAGTTTTCAAGTGACTAAAACATTGTATACTACATCTACTTATCCGTGAGTGTCTAGTAGTGCCGTATAAGGCATAAATCTTTGTTGTAATTAACACAAAACATAACTACGTGACAACTATTTTAAAATTATACGTCACTTATTAAAAACAAAGTTAATTGTAAGAATAAGTAATGTATTTATTAAATTATACGTTAATTATTAAAAACAAGATTAACTGTGAAAATAAGCTATGCATTTATAATACTTAAAGCATTTATCATAATTTACGAGGTGAATCTAACCGGAACAGAAAAATAGAAAATATACTATCAAAAATAGAACCAGAGCACGCGCTAATCAGTCACAGTGTGCTTTGTAAACTTAGAGTTCAAAGCTAGTAAGAAAAAACAAGTTTCTGGTTTCCTACACTTTGGTCTTATTTTTTTGTGTCAACTGACAGTCTAGCAAGTATGAGTGGACAGTGTGTCATCCACTTCCTGAAAATGCAAGAAAGGCAGAATTCAATTTTGTTAATTTTTTTATTTAAATGCACATGTGTCTATTCTACAACATGCTACACACTACTTATTATTTAACTCTATCATTTATTTCTCTGCTATAACAATTATATAGTACCTAGTTTGACATCAAATGTTTCACAATTATGAACGTAATGACATATTATCTAATCAAAATCTAAATATAACGGCGTTTTATCTCTTTAAATTTACCAATAACAAATCAATACCGACTTATTCATAAAGCTTTTGATGAGCCATCAAACCTGCAAATACCTGCTGAAAATATCACAGCTGACACAGTTATTGTTACCTGGCAGATGCCGAACAATCCCAATGGAAACATCACAGGATATGTTTTGTATGTGACTCACAGCAATCACTCATGTTTGCAGGTTTACTATGTGGGGTGTATGGACTGTGGTCTGGTGAGTAAATATGTAAACATAGTACACATACTGTTATTAACAGTTTTTCTAATCATGATGAAAAAGTCACAATGGTTACTCGAATTCTGTATTTTAAAGCAAATAATTTTCCTGGCCAGTGTAGAGATATAAAAAGATTATTATTTATCAACAAATATGTACGATTTTTTAATAATCTGCTACCGGCGTCTAGCCCTTTTTTATTTTACAAATCACATTACTTGTGAGATTATTCAGATCCGTAAATTTAATTACAGGAATAATATAGCTGTAATGCAATCATGACCAAACAAAGGTTCTTCAAAGATGAAATCAACTAAACCATGAAATATGTAGGCCAATAGTAAACTTTAAAAAAACTGTTAATAAAAATAAAAAATAAAAAATTTGCTATTTAATTTTAGAAATCTTCATACTAATATGTTTAATAATAAATATTCTGATTTTTTATTCTTTTAAATTCTAATTTCCTTCTAGATTTTAATTCCAAACTTAGAGTCTAATAAATTTTATCTGAAATTTATTCTCTTCATACTTTTAGCAAAATTTGGCTACTCCTGATAAATGCCAACAATCTGAAATAACTAGGAAAAACTACACGCAAAATGATTTGAATAGCCATAGCTCGACCATCTCAGTGGATATCTCTAAGTTGGACCCTTACACCAACTACACCGTGGTAGTGTTACCATACAATGATGCTGGACAAGGCAAGCAGACAAGTCAATCTTTTACTACCAGAATTGCGCGTAAGTATTGCTGTAATGAACAGACCATTATTTTTACAATAATTTTTATTCAATGGAGTTTGTGTAAGATCTTTGATAACTAGAGGTTTTAAATTATAAGTAATAGACTGCTTTGTCATTTATGTAATCCTCAAAAAATTATTTTTGTGTACGAATATTAACTTTAGACTGATCCTTAACACACATACATTCAGCATCCATACAAAATATAATGAATCTTTAATTATTTATTTTTGTATAGGCTACTACTTTAACAACCTGCATTATATTTTTGCATATAGCAAAATTAACAATCTATATAGCTATTCATTATTTAAATGTACATATATGTTTACTTTTAAATACTTAATTTAGAAATGCTCAATAAAGAAAATGCTAATCCTAAAAGTTCTACATGTTGAAAATGCTAAATGTTAAAACGGCAAAAAATTACAATGAATGTATTGAAAAAAATATATGAAATATTTAAAAAGAATTTATAGTTTACAATATTTTTAATATTTTTAATTTTTAATAAGACCTACGCTGATCAACACCATGTGTGGGGGTCGGCGTGGTCGAGTCGGTAAAGCTCAATGTTGCTCAACCGAAAAGTCTTGAGTTCAAACCCTCGGGCAGATGAGGCTCGCTAGCTGGGGACGACTCCTCTTCTAGGAGAGACAACTCCAATATCAAACAACTGCCTTGTAGTTTGTTCTTGGTTGGACAAAGGCTGTGGAAGCAAATTAAAAAAGAAAAGCAGTTAACGGCCTCAATGGCGCATAACCTGTGACATGTATACTTAATTGTGTTCGAGGCATGGTCGAGTCGGCAAAGCTAATGGTTGTTAAATTCGAAAATAAAAAAGTCTCGAGTTCGAACCCTCTGGAAGGTATATTAATAACGAAGAGGAAGAACACCGTGTGTTTATATCTTCCTCACGTTTGTCATCTTATTTCATAAGACTTCTATTTCTCTGTTTTATAATTAATTATCCATCCCCTAAAACAGTAAAAAAAATAATTTCTTAACTAATGCATGGGAGATAATTTCTTGTTTTTCAACAAACTAGTTATTAATATAGTTGTTTTTGCTATGAGAAAACCACATATGATACAAATTTGATGCATGTATATTGGGAAGAGGTAAATTATTTTTTATCAAAACATTGTTTTAAATTGTGTCTACATCGAGCTGTGAAAATAAAAATTAGCTGATTATAAATTTTAAAACTTAAAAAAAAATGTTTTTATATTCCATTCCGTCATGCCTTATAAAATGCAGGGTCTGGTAAATAATTTAGGGTAAATTAATAAGGATGACGTTATGGAAAATAATTTTGATGTCTGTTCATTCAAAATGTACTTTATTTAAAAATAAAGATGAAATATATGAAATATAACTTACATTTCTTAAATTTAAAATCAACAGTAGTGGGTACAAATAAAACGTTCTACAATCTTTAAGTTCATTTCTCCGTTCCTCTCAAAAGGAATGTTATGATGTAAATAAATGTAGACCCTATTAGAAACTTGGAAAAACTAATGTTTAAATTTGATGACAGCTGCAAGTAATCTTATCAGTGTAAGTCTAAATGCTACAAGGGATGCAGATAAAGTTGGATTAAATGTAACTTGGATACCTGGAAGATTTACTGGACCTACAAATTACACTGTTAAACTAGAGGAGAAAATAAGCTTAAGTAGTGACAGTTACACCGCTAAAGATACTAAAGAAGTTGTTGGTAAGATATTTTTTTCTAGTTATCTAACTAGCTTTAGTAGCCAAAATCTGTCAACAAGAACAGCCCGAATGCACAATTGCAACCTGAGTTATATGAAGTGTTATGAATTATTTTAAAGGGGCTAACATACAATTGCTTTATTTTTTATTTTTAGGTTATGATAAAAACTTCTTCAATTTCCCTGAGCTTCTGGGTTATTGGGATTACAAGGTAACAGTTACAGCAAACACAAGTGAAGGTCAAAGTTCACCTAAAGTAGAAAGTAAAAAAACTTTTATGAAACGTAAGTACTTAGTTAAGAAGAGTTTTTCTATCTATTTAAAGGTCAAATTCGTGCTGAGTGGTTTTTAGAGTGTGCTGCTGATACGGGTGTTACTTATTTCTAAACATGTAACTAGATAAAATGATGTTGTTTGTTTGCTATAGGTATCTTTCGCTCCTGAATTGTAAACAAGTGTAACATCCTAGTATGTAAACTAAACCTAGGCTAACAACGTCTTGAAGAAAAAAAAAGTGACGAGCTTACTTAATTTACTAACATTTTACTATCTACTACTTATAAAGCTTTATTCAAAAATTTCAACATTTTTAACATTTGAAATTCTTAATATTTCTATTTTCAAAACAGCTCCAGGGTTAGCAACTTTTAACATTACAGTTGATCCTATCGTAGCCACTAAAGTTACTATTTCAATCAACTGCCCTGAAGAAAAAGAAAGGAATGGTATTATCGTGAAATATACAGTTAAAAAAATACTTTTGAGGGCTGACGGTAATGATGTAAGTTTTACTTTTATTAAAGAAAATATTAAATTCTAGACAATTTATGGTAAATTGCAAGTTTTACACATTTCAAAATCAAAGTGGATAATTTTCTAGAGAATCCACAGTTTAATACAATCATCATTTCAAGGTAATAAAAACAAAATAAATCAATCTATATTTCTAAAACGTGGAATTGTAAACATGCAGATATCTCTGGCATAATAGTCTAATGATAGTTCATTATTATGCATCAGATAATAATATTAATGATTTTAGGGTAATGTCGGTGGAGTGGTAAGATATGTCCAAATAAACCTTTTAATTTTTTAATAGTAGAGTATAAAGGAATAGGTTAGAATATAAACTATTCGTTTATAATTCAAAAATAATCTTTTCGAACATTTGATAATTGAAATTAATAGCTTATACAAAACACAGCCTTGAACCCTTTTACACAATTTTTATTACAGCCAGATATGATTCTTTTTCAAAGCATCGATAGAACACAAGAGAGTGAAAATCCGTGTGAAGTGACAAAACAACTGCTAACAGATGTCAGAGTTGAAAGGAATTATTCAGTTGAAGTATGCTTTTTGTTGTAAAAATAGGTGGTTTCACTATTTCTTTTAAAACCATTCACAATTTTAAGAATTACTATATAGTTTTTATTCACAAAAATAATCGTTAGAAATAAAATAATTTTACGTAATTAGATCTATTTAAATTAAGATGAATTATTTTCTGCAGGTAGCAACAATTAACAAAGAATTTTCAGGAGTCTTTTCAGGAGGCTATAACTTTTATGTTCCCGTAAAATGTAGGATTCCATTTTTTAAAAAATATTTATATTGTGATCAGTAGTATCACAAAGCTGGGGCTGGCGGCCCGATCCGCAAGGTGTGACACAAAGGGGTTTAGACCAATTCCAGAATATTGTAAAATGTTCTAAAAAATTAATTTTGATCGAGGTAAAATACTATAACGTTTTGGAAAGGGCTAACACGAAAGCCAAAATGTTAAATAGTTAGAAATTGGGGACGACAAAGCGAGTTATTCTTTCATGGGGCTGGTTATACATTCATATTTTAAAATCACTTTGGTTTAATAAGTGTTAACTAAAATTGGCCTAACTTTTGCTATTCATTTATTTGCTTTTTTCGTTAATTTTAACATTGCATTCATGAGTTTAATTCTTTGCAAATCCTGTATAAATATTGAAATGATTTTTCAATAATCAAAATCTAGTGTATTTATGTAGTCTACACCTATTTTTGCATTAATCTTTAAACTAATATAGCGCTTAGATGACAATAATTTACTTTCAAATAATAAAAATGGCAAGGGGATGCTAACATTGCTAGGAGTAGATTATTAATACACCAAATTTCATACCAACCATTTAAAAAAAACTTACCAAATATTACAAAAAATAAAAAAATGCTGTTTTCAACTACGCGAGTTTTATTTTAAAATAACACAATATTACATTTTATGGGACACCTTATCCTATACAATTTAAAAGCTTACTAAATGAGTTAAACAAAAGTAAACAAACATTTAAAATATTAAACGCAAAATTTCAACCAATAAGTTGATATCCTTCATTGCTGTATGAGATATTTCATTTATTTTCTATAGTACCTTTCCCTTTGGCAACGGATACAGTAAAAATGTTAAGTACCTCGGAAACCAAATTAGAAGTTACCATTTGCAGAGATTGTGTGGCTAGTGAAACACAGGGTAGAATACAGATTTTGTTGCTGGCTGTATGCTCAGTATATTCTAACTGTTTTCATTCTGGTAAATACTAAAATACATAAAACAGCAAAATGTATGGTAGTTTCTTTGACTTACAGATATATTATTACAAAACAATTATTGAAGCGTTTATATTATTTAACTAAAGTTTTTGGAATTAAGGAAAAAGAAAACGATCAATTGAAGCAATTATAAACAGTACGTGGTCAGAAGCTAAAAAATCTGGATTTACTATTGGATATCGAACAACACCATTAGATTGGTTGAACCAACTGAGAGGTACTTTTCATGTGATATTTTTATATCATTTTCTAGCATAACAGACATTATAAAAAATAGTCAATATTCACTATTGATTCGCTATTGATTTATTTTTTTTAACATTTTTATTTTATTATTTAAAAAAAAAACATTATTCACAATTTTTTTAATCATTGATATTTACATTTATCATTTCTTGATTTTGGCATCCATTAGATGTATGTGTCCTACTCATAACATTATATTTTTGTTAACATTGTCACCAGGGCTAGAAATCATATTTATAGAAGCAAGCATTTGTTAGGTGTATATATATATATATATATATATATATATATATATATATATATATATATATATATATATCAGTCAAATATTTTTATTATTAAAAGTCGGATTTGCAAATCGCAGTACACTATTTGTTTTAACATAGCTTAAAATTTAGAACTTAAAGTGTGATAACTTCCATCAGTGTCTCAAGACCGGTTTGTTAATTATATTATTGGACGTGACACCACTTGTGAAATTGGGGATACAGGTTACTGCAATGGACCTCTGCCATCTAGTACAAAATTCAAGTAATTTTTCCACTTTAATTTAATAAATTACACGTGTCTATTAATCTAAAATAGTCTTAAATTGAAAATTTTTAAGTAAAAAAGTGCAATTGTGTACAAGTATTGTAAAAATGCTAGCATCAAAAAACTTCGAGAAATATTTCACACTGATCAACCTATGATAATTAAAACCATTTCATATACGTTTTAAATAATACGTCCCTAATATTACGTACATGTCTAAACGTATCACTGTTTTAAAACTTTTGCTGTGTTTCCTAAAATATTTCCTAAAATTATTTTACCTTTTACAAATGTATTCTTCTATCATTTGTAAAATGGATGCCATGTATTATAAAATTTACATTCCAGCTTATGTAGAATGAGTACATAGTATACAACCGGCTGTAATTAATAGTGTTATCTATTAGTCCCACTTAACTATTCGGGTACATTATAATTACTATATTTAATTAGAAGACGATTAAAGGGTTTGATATGCATTATTACTTTAGTCTCTTTTTAATATGCTACATTTTTTTATATCATTCTGGCTTTGATTGTACATTTTTTTAATTCAATAAATATATAGTATCTACATATAAGACATATAAGACGGTATAACTAAAATGAAGCTAATTCTTTTTTATTAAACTAGCTATAAGAGCAACCACTTAATCCTTATTTTTTCCATTAAAACGTTCGATATCTCATTTCATTTATGTTCAATGAGATTTCTTAATTGTAAAAACATCATTAATTTATAATTATATAATATAATTTTTCTAAAGAGTAATTATTTTTTATTTTATTAACAGAATTCTTGTTCTAGAATGTAACAGTGCTGGTTGTGTTTCATTATCTTCAGAAACAGTTGCCACAAAAGGTATGCTATTTGTAAATTCATATGCATAGTAGATTATTTCTATATGTATCTTCCAATTTCTCCAAGAAGCTGTATTATGAGTTGAAATGGTTTATTGTGTTTTATTCTTCTTTATTCTTTCTTTCACATACTGCAGTTTATGTTCTTCTCCCTTCAAGGTTTAGTATTTTCATTGCTATTACTTCATTTGAACAAAAGTTTAAAATATTATTTGAATTTTCTTTTTTGAACCAATATTGCAAGTATTGTTTAACTATTATTATCAGATGAAGAGGCGAATTACACCGCACTTGCTGTTGGTTTGAGTCTTGGACTTCTGTGTATTATAATCATAAGCATTGTTGCTGTCGTTTGTATAAAACGACACCACAGAAATAAGAAGTCAGAGGCTATGAGGAGACAAGCACCTCTCTATAATACTTTAAACAGAACTTTTCAAGATGATCATCTTTATGGTATTGCTAATGGTATGTTTGTAAAGCTACTTACATTTACACATCTTAATGATTTTCTATTCAAATATCTTCAAATATCAAGGATTACAAATATCAGTTCCAGCACCTTACAGATGATGTAGATATTTATTTAACATATGTAGAATGAGTAATTAGACAATTTAGTAATGATAACTTTTTGGGAGTCTTTTCTTTGATAAACATTATCTCAAATAACTTTTGTAAAGTTGAATATTTGAGATGGTAGTTAACTGAAGAAATTCAAAATTTTACTAAAGTGTAAGCCTATTCGTTTTAAATATCCAAAACGAAATTTTTATTGTAAAACAGATAAGATGACTCCAGTTATCCGTGAACCAGAACATGTCAACCAGCCAGCAAGCAATGAAGATGTCTATCAAGAAATACCTGACTCCAAAAACTATCAAGTTACCAGCGTTGATGATTATCAAAATTCTATCAGTGCAGTTAAAAGCAAGTAAATGGACGACGATAAAATTCAATAAATTTAAAATAAAAAGATGTTTTCAAAGCGTAGGTTCTTTTGCATAAACACACATAGACTAATGAATATCTGCTAAAACTTTACAGAGCAGTTTAACTTTTTACTATCAAGAAATTAGATCAATGAGTGCAGATATTTTTTTTAAAAGTAATGAATTTTTAAATTTCAACATATCCCACAATTAAATATTTAAGCACCAAAAAGAGTGCCCAATTTAAAAAAAAAAACCACTATTGGAGACTATTGTTTACACGAATCATTATAATTCAATTGCCCTAGCTACTAAAAAAGTTGATTTATTTTCATTACTTAATTTTTTTATCTTAAACCATATATTTCAAAAATTAACCTCCTATTTGACTTTATCACTATAGTAATTAAGGTGCATGTTTGACCTTTTTGTTGATTTCTAAGCTAACATTTATAATTAGTTTATTAAAAACATTACATTTACTAATTTGAACCTCCAGTTATTTTTTTACATTATTGTTTGTATTTAAATAAATACAAATCAACATCATTTTTATGAAGAGCACAGTAATTAATTAAGACAATAAATTTACAAGACGGTATTAATTACCAGCACAGAGGTCCAAATAATAAGCTACAGCTCGGGATGCTAATGAGTACCAACGGGTATAAAGATACAAATTTTAGCACTATTACATTATATAGTCGACAAGGTCTGGTGGCTTTGTTTTTATTTGCATATTTAAGGAAGTTTTTTTTTCTATTTCTTAGGGCACTATTTTGCAAAAGTTTGTTATTAAAACGCTTTTTAAATTAATTTTGTATTAAGATTTTAAAATGTTACATGGATGTTTTTTAAGCTTATATTAAATTGTATACGTGTTACTTTTTGGCTGTATCTTTTTGTTTTAAAGTGATTCGTTTTACCTCATACCTTATGTCTAATTTAATGTTATATAAGTGATTTTTTAATATATATTTTGTTTAGTTTTTAATTTTTAAAGGATGTTTCATAACGTTGGTTAAATTTTATTATTGTGTTTTGTGGGAGGGGTTCGATTTATCATTAACTTTTTATGGATATGCATTTTCTCTTGTTAGGAGTAGGGATTGTAGTCTGTATAGTTGGTGTGTTGTCTATTGATGATAAGGTTTTTATTGTCATTTATGCGGTAGTTTTTCTCATCAGATTATTTAGGATATTTAGATTTTTCAGGATAAGGCTTATACTAGTATTAGTATGCAACCAACTCATTTGATTGATGACAAAAATAAAAGATTTGTTATTATAAAAAACATTTTGGCTTATGTAAACACTTTATCTCCTTGACAGAGAACTACCTTTTCACTAAAAAAAACCACTATCGTTTTCATGATGAGTCTTTGATTTTTTTTTTATTTTGAAAAGACAATAAAGCTTTTGTTTTATATTTATCTTATAAAAAAAATATGGGGCCACTAAAAGTAAGCACAAGTGCTGTTTCCACCTCAGTGGTATGGCCCATACGATGTCCCAACCAGTAAAAAATTATTTCAAGCTCGGGTGGATACTGAGAGACACGGGGAAGTGCAGTGTTTCTAGAAGTGTTTCTAATTAGCTTAAAACTCCCTCTCCATACCACCGAATATATATATATATATATATATATATATATATATATATATATATATATATATATATATATATATATATATATATATAGACATATATACGTGTGTATATATACGTGGTGAGGGTGCTAGATAGTTAGCCCTGAACGCCAGAATAGTTTGCAGTGCCTTTGGTTTACCACTGGAGGCCGTTAGATAAAATAGCTCAAGATCCAGTTTTCTGGAAAATTAGTTGGCTTTCTATGTCCTAGAGTAAAAGCTGGCTAACAACTTCTGATACTATAAATTAAGATGTACAAATTAAGCTCTCATTTATTAATCACTGACATTGACAATCTTGTTTCATTTTCTTCACTTTCATGCCTATTTTTGGCAAGTTCAGTAAATATTTGACAAGCTCTCTTATAGTTTGCTCTGAGTCACGCCTTTCGCTTCACTCAATCGTTTAGGCTCGGTAAAGATGCCGGTTACATCCTGTTTGCAGGTGTAGAGTGGGGACTATATAAACCTTGCCGCTTAGAATAACAAGTGTAGCTGAATACAGTGTGTTCGTATGTTAAGTCAGTCGTGTGCGTTCTCCTTAAATAAACTAGACGCTGGAAATGACATGGCTCTGGTTATTTTAGTTTATACAACTTGTGTTGGCGAAACACACAGTATGAAAGCTCAGATACCACTAAAATCTTATTTTATAGGGAAAAACATTTTAAAAAAAAACAAACACAGTGACGACAGTTTTGCAGAAGACAATGAAAAGATCAAGCAGAACTTGTTACCTCCCCTTTGTTTCAAATCGTTTGAAAACTAAATTATCTGCTCCTAATAACCGTCACTAATTCGACCCGACTCTACTATTATAAACATTCGGCGTGAACCACAGCTCACCAGACTGGTGGGGTGGAGTGTTAGCGGTATTGTCTTTTGCGAGGGAGGGGGCCGATCGGCGCGCGTACTTGGTGGTGGTGTCCCGCAAGGTCTCATGAAGAGAATTATATATATATACGAGCCGACCCGCGGCGTATCATACGCCGCTATTTAGTTGTTTTATTTTCTACTTTTCAGTAATTCATAATTTGTGAATTCGACAGTACCAATGCTGCCACTGAAAATATTTGCTTTAAAACATTATAAGTAGGTCGTTAAGGACAATAATCCCCCACCCTCCTTTCCCCCTACCCTACCCTACCCTCCTGCCCCCCCCCCCCCCCCCGTGAAAAGCAGCCTCCTCTTAGTTACCTCCCCTAAGTTTAAAATCGTTTTAAACTAAATTATCTGCCCCTAATAGCCGTCACTAAACACGGCTCTACGATTGTAAACATTTAGCGTGAACCACAGCTCACCAGACCATGTGGGGGGGGGGGGGGGCTAGGCGCGCTTACAGCTTGGTGTTTTCTAGGGTATCCAAGAAGAAAATTATATATATAGAAAGATAATTTCGAGTATAATAATTGTTTTTGCAGTTATTAGGTTTTATTAAAAGCTTATTTTTGAAAAATTGCCAAGTGCTATAAATCTCTGCTATACTGGAGATGATTGACTGAGATTTAGTGAGAACGCTTTGAAAGAGAATGTTTGGCAACACATAGAAAGATCTGGCATTTCTAATCATTCACTTACATCGACCCAAAAAAAAACAAAGAATATTGTAAGTAGTAACTGATTTTTAAAAAAAAGGTCATATATAAGTTAAAAGTTATCATATTAAAGGTCTACTTATATAACACATACAATTATATGTTCAGTTATTTTATTTAGGTAGGAGGATGCAGACATTTATATAAATATATATTTCAACTCGGAAAGGATGAGCTAGTCTCTTATATCCTTCCGAGAATAGCCGAAAGATATTTAGAATATTTAAAACAAAACAGGTTGCATATATAGAAATGTTGCTACTATTTCGAAATTTCTTTCAACTGCTAAACAACTCCTATATCCATCAATCCTTTCATCCATACTGTTACAAAATATTTTTTAAAAATGACTTTCTTAGCCATGTGCATACTAATCTTCTTATAAAATATATTCTTAACTTACAATTACCCAGACTTACGCAGAATCATGCAGTGCAAAAATTAAAGTAGCACATGGTGTGTGGATTTAACCTTCCTTCAAAAGTGTGTTTAGCAATTCAATTTTTTTACTTTGTTTAACCGCCATGTTTTTTTTTAAATGTGCATATGTTTTTGATCAATAGAGACTACACTTCTTAAGGTAAAATGTGAACCATGAACACTGATGCTATGTCTGCTATGAGATTAATTGCTTTTCATGGTTCACTATAGCTAATCATTAGCATTACAGGTGAGTGTTAAAATATGAAGTATCTTTATTATTTTAACCGAATATATATATATATATGTATATATATATATATATATATATATATATATATGTGTGTGTGTGTGTGTGTGTGTGTGTGTGTGTGTTTGTATGTGTGTGTGTGTGTGTGTTTGTGTTCGTGTTTTTGTGCATGTGTGCTCGCGTGTATATGTGTCTCTGAGTCAGTGTGTATAGTTATGACAAATAGATATGTAGTGTAGATTTTACATTTCAAATTTAAAAAAAAAGGTAAGTATCACATTAAATTTATTCTCATTAATTACAAGACCTGTGCTCATGCATTAGTTTTTAGCTACGAAATGAAGCGCTATATAGTGGAGATAATGTTACATTCAACGAGCTAAAAGCCAAGTACAATAGAAACTAGAAAAGCTTGCGACAACTCTCATAGAACATTATTTTACCCGGTGTTTACACTTTATACACCGAACAACATAGCAGTCAACATCATCAAATAAGTATTGGATTGCAATTCCCCCCCCCCCCCCAAAAAAAAAAGAATAAAGTGGGTGTGCCTAAACAGACCTGAAAAGGTCATTCTTCCGTGAAGCAGAAGCTGCCGGAATGTCTCGGGCCCAGCTTGGAGGATTTAGAGTAAATCCGGTTATGGTGGAGAGGTGTGGTTGTGTTTCTATACTCCACAGGAATGATAAAGAACATAACTATTTAAAATGAATTTAGATGAAGAAACGTATATAAATTCTTTATAACTAACAATTTGAAATACACCCGTACATTAAAAACGTACCAATGATGAACATAGTTATCGGATTAACTCTTCCACACATATTGAAACATTTCCTTTACAGAATTGCCAACATGGTTTACAATAAAGAGAGGCTAATTGATTCATTACTTTTTTTCATTCTGTTTTGTGAACTTGTCTTGGTAAGTTTTCTCTAAATATTTTATTCGCATTCGTAGTTAAGGGGATATGCTCAGTTTATTTCTTTTTTTTTTTTTTACAATTTAAGATATAAATCCTTTAGACTTTATTTTACCATATTTGGGACATGAAAGTAAATATTAAACAGCAAGAAAAGTGTTTAAAAC